TCCACGCAGGATCATTCACTACATGAATTTTACGATTATAGCACTATCCGGCATGTAACTGTTGGTAATTGTCCTTAATTTCATGTGCGACGGCATTGTTGGAGTGTTTTTTGATGAATGCACAACAAAGCGACCGTAAGTGCATTCGAATGACTACGCAATTATGACTGCAATGACACAAATATGAGTGAGTGAACGAGTGAGATGCAATTTGGCTCATCACAATCACTACAAACGATATTTTCGTAAATTGAATCTCATTGTGTTCCACCCAAACCGACTGATTTCACCATCTCATCTAACCACCATGCAAACGTCGCACTAATGTTGTAGTAGTAGTAAACATGATAGGACTGTACAAAAGATTACCCATGCAAAAACTTGTTCCACAATGCATGTCTAACTAGCTGAGAGCATAGCGAAGAATGCATGTTAATAAGTACTCGTTCTCTCCAGAACGATACCAGTTTACCGTCCCGGTCTTTCGCAACAGAAGGTGTCTTGATTCGGTTGCTTTAGATGTGATTAGCTTCATTATCCTTACCGAAGTGATAACTATTCAGGAATCTTTTCAGTAGTAATGAAGTGAACCGAAAGACGAACAAAATCTTTGATGAAACGTTAATGTGTAAAACAAATGACGCCATTTTTCGATGGCATTCACTGCCCTGTTACAACCGTATTTATTTTTCGCTGCTTTCCAACCAATTCTTATCATTCTTTCGGGTGAAAGTATACAGATTTTGCTGCAACTTCACATAAACTATCTTCTTACGTTTGCTTAGCAACCATCGTTCCACTTTCCAAAAAATATCATCAGAATCGGTGATAAAAGATAACCAAAATATCTGCAGCTAAACTTTCTGTATAGGCAATCACCATTTCACAACCACGTATCAACGCTATCGGCTCAGAACAAACAATTTGCGATGAGTCAACTGCGTGACGTTAATGCTAATTCAAGCGAAGCGAGAGAACAAAAATTGCCGACTACAAATAAAGGGAATACAAAAAAATCAAGGCAAAAGTCTGTACTACGTACGCCTACGATTGCAAACGTTATGATAAAATTTTAATTGATGCTTTAAGGTAGCTGATATACAAACACAGCAACACTCACTCGCTATCACAAAAAGCGCCTATCGCGTGAACATAATCGAGGAGCCATTCTCGATGTAACTGCCCAACTCGATGTAATTTCTCTGCAGTAACGACGAGTCAGTGCTTTAGGGAGCATTACGAAGCAGTGCACATTATACGCTCCCTTGGCTGTTGCACAAACACATGCAGCAGCAGCAGCAGCAGCAGCACCACCATCGCTCTCATCGAGTAAATGGTACAAGTGAAATATATGTCAGTCGAAATCGATTCATAAAATGAAAAATCGAAATTGTTCTAACGAAACCGAATAGATTAAGTGAATAAGGATTCTTAATGAACGAATCTGAGACATAATCGAGACTGCTCTACGTATTATTATTAATACTAAGGATTCATCAATAAAAATCAATGCTACACATCCATCCATGCACTCTTAAATTGGTTTCCAAGTGTACATTAAACGAAATAATAGCAAATGAAAATACGAAGTCTATTACTGGGAGGGTGAATGAATATATTCTGTATAAATACATTTGTGAGGAATACACATTCTTTAAAAGTAAGAATCAAGTTGTGTTCGATAATATCGAATATTATATCGTTTTTGCTGGTTTCATTCATATTCGCTTAGAATTGCTACAGGATGAGTGAACGAGCGACGGAATATAATTGCGCAAAAACGCATAATTCAAATTGTTTCTGGATGGTGTTGTGGTGCGTTGAGGAAACACTTTCGATGAATATTTTCAGTGAATGTGAAATCATTGCACAGATTACGTCAGATTCAATACGGCAGAGATTTTGTTGACTTGTCGAGAATGGAAATGTTTTTGAGCAATTGAACATTCCTTTCTTTGCTTTCACATTCTACGAATCTAAGCGCATGCACACAACTTACTCATTAATCATACATAGACTATGATGTAACCCTTTCAAACGAGAAACTCCCTTATACGTTCGTTTCGAGAAACATAAAAACTTGTTCGAAGATGTCATTAAAATTTTATTCATAGCAATCACCATGAAATGATAGATTATATTTCATGCAAAAATACTACATCTCGAGAAATATTGAAAGGAAGTGCGCATTAATAAACGGAAACTGTTCAGTTGAAAAGCGCATAAAAGTTCTATTTCCCAGCGACCTGTGCAAATGCCATAAACCGTGTCGTCGAGCAAACAAACAATATCGAGACAACAACTCTATAGGTCAACAAAACCGTCTTATCTAAGAATATCGTCATATCACGACTCGCTTCTCAACAAATAATACTTTGAACTACTTCAGTTAAGACGAATGGTAATTACTAATTTAATATCAGATGACAGTTGCACGCAAATTAAATTCAACCCTTTTGACGGCGAATATGATTAGAAGAGACCCACTTTACTATTTTACGCATGCTTCATTTTCCTCTTTAGTTCGCATTAATTACCCTCACACGCACATATATCATAACAGGCTTCATCAAGATTCCGCGGAACGCTAAAGACCACTCAAACTATGACCCGATGCTAAATTACATATCCGAAAGTGAAACGATTGCTGCACAGAATTCCATTCGGACAAAAATATGTATAGCCGATGAGTCCAAATATCTGAACAAATTAAGATGATGTTTTGATGTCAGTTCAAGGAGAAGGGGTTATTAAGACACCCTAATGATTAGAAATAGTTCGAATGTGCCTACAGTTCTTATCGATGCATTAATATCCAACTTAACTCTGTGATTCGACAGAATTCTCGAAACAACCCTCACTCCAACAATATGAAATAATTATGGATGCACTCAGAAATTAATTGTATCATCACGAAAATACTCTTCTCAACGATCTTGTCGTCACACGATACTATGAATGCTTTGTGCCACAAATGATGCTGATGGCTAAGGGATCTGAATGATTTGACGGCTAGTGTGCAGGTGTTTTGGTTGTTTATTACCAACTCAATTACGGAAAGGTTCACTTAAATTAAAAGCGGACTTCAAAGTGTGGAATTTAATAAGTGTACAAGATGATGTACCGACAGAGGTAATGTTCAGGAAAATTATCAACGTAAACATTCCGCATCCATAAACTTAATTTCATTCAATTGAGTGCACCGATCTGATGTCTTGTCAAAAAGTGCCGATTAGACGGCATCATTCAGGTTTTGATGAAGGATGAATTTTTTGACTGATAGAAAGAAATTCGATTGAAAACTCTGATAAAAACTGCGATTTGGATTTATAAAATAAAATCAAAAGTGAATGAGATTATGCTCGTTTTTTATGTCCGATTCAGTAAATCGCATATCTGCGCGATTCCATTCCTGTGTAAATCAAAGACCGACTTTGATTTCAGGTTGGATTATTTACTGCTATGATGGTGCTATTGAAGGAGATGATAAAAGACTACTCGAATCGAATAATGCAAAATAATAGTTATAACATAACAGATAGTAAAAGCTCTCTGAGATTATGTCATAAGATGGATGTCTCTCACAATACGATATGCAGTGTAATGCGCCAAATGTTTCTGATCAAGCGTAACAAAAGTGATCATCATCATCAGCTTTCATTACTGCAATGACGGCACGTCATATCGGGCTGATGACCCATAAATGAACACAATCACTCAGTAATGAGAGACGAGATGAGTGGATGCAGTATTCAACGAACGGATAAAGGACATCTTTCTGTTCAATTGAACACAGTTGCTCTAGAGAGGGAAATGAAAGTCACGAATTAGTCATCGATGCACGAGAATATTCCTTCTATTCATCGAATACACTTATTGCTTGCCAAAAATATTGCATTGTTGATAAACGAACCAATGAGAAATTTTTTGGTGAACCTATAAAACCAATTTTTCGATGATGAAAGAGAACAAGAAAACAACATTTCTATCATAAGTCATAGTTGAGTCAACGAACAATAAAGTATCGCAAAAAGCAAATTAATTTTCTTTTTAGAACAATCAAGCAACCAAGCCGGTATTGCATGGCATGGAATACACGCTCTGAAGTACTCTAGGAGACGGCATTCCGCTTAGGCTCAGTCTTAACAATAGGTACAAGCAAGCAAAATGTCCGAAAAACACAGCCTATGGAATCGTCCCTCCATCAACGACGCAGCCAAGCATAAATTCGGATGATTTTGAATAAAACTAAGATATTTGAATAAATTCATTTGATGGTCAATTGCTACCATAATTAGGAAAAAAAATTCCAGAGAGATAGTTTCGTTACTTTATGTGCATTAACTACGAAACAAGTATCAAGCTAACCGAATAAAATTTTTACAATGAACAATTCTTCGAAGTTATTGTGCAATGACTATATTTAGAGACTGGGAAGGATTCATGCGCGGCGGGCAGATATCGGATAAGAATCCATTCATAAGTATATGGGCTTTGTAGTGACAAATCGATGAATATAACGCGAAAATTCGCATATAATACAATATGATAGATCGTTTGCATGCAACGTTCACATCGTATACTTTTGACTCTTATAACTTACGACTCCAACTGTACTGGCTCATGACCAGAGGCTGAAATTTTTGCCGGGACCGGTAAAGTCATGCTTTGACTGATATTGCTTTGGTGCTTTAAGCCTATCACTTGGCGACGGAAGTATGTCTAGACTCAATCTGAAGACTGTCTGAGGTTCGGCCTCATCAGAAGAAGGCTTGAGTTGAGCGAGTGGCGAACAAAGTCAAACTCGAAATAGAACAAGGGTTTAAGATTCGAGTTTAAGATGGTGACTGGCTGAGGGATACAGCTTCGATGGAAGTTATCAATGATGTGATCATGGAATTGATCAGGATTGATCAATCCATAACAAATAAATCGACTTCGATTCACATGATCAAGTCAGCATCACACACTTCAAGCTGTGCTTGCTTGTTCGCTCGCAACTAGTGATCGTTACAGAGGGCGCACGACAACGCCAAAGAGTACACCAGCGCAGACAACGAGAGAAAAAAATTCAAGATGGCTGCCAAAGGATGGTGTTGTACACGTACCATTTCTTCGTCCTTCTCCATGCCCGTGGGCATCTGGGCGACGGCACGGTTGATCGGGGTACATTCTGTGAGGTCTGGAAGCTCATCCACAACATATACAGGCATCGACTTGGACGCATCCAGATTCCTGGCTCGAAATGATAGCTTACTTGTGGTGGCCATTTTCGCTGACTCTCACCACGTAACCACCTGATTGGCTTCAGGCTAGCGGCCGTTTGGGAAGGGCGCCGGCCGGAGCCGCTTTCTGGAATAACAGTAACAGATTCAGAAACGATCATCCGCCATCTGGGCTTGGCACGCAGCGACAGAAAATATGGACAAGTTGGTGCAAGTCGGAGGTTTTGTATTGATTCGGCGGTAGTATATTGGAAAGGAGTATCGAACGGGGTAGAGTAGAGTGTGTGTATGTGATGGTGATGCTGTGCTCAGATGAAATAACGTTGGCAATTGATGTGCAACACCGACGTACGCACCACCCTAAACGCCGCGCACAAGCGATCTGATCTCTTGGTTGGCCGTCCTCTCTGCACGGCCCTTCGCATCTTCACCCTCGAATAACGGCATTGATTTGTTAAGGAACGCTGCCCAACAGGAGAGTCAAAGAAAAACGGCACGCACAGAGCGTGTTTCGCACTGAGACTTGTTTACTCTCTTGCCGCATTCTGTTCCCTCACTCGACCTTGCCCATACAAACCAATGCCCCCTACCGTCTAACAACACTTATTTTTCGGATTATTCCAATATTTTTTACTATTTTGAATATTTGATATTTTTTATATTGCGTACATTCTCACTGATGTTAAACTGATTACCATTTTCGTCGTTCCGAAAATGTTTGAATGGCGATAATGGTAGTAGTAGCAATAATGTAGTGTGCAATTGAAATGTAATGTTCACTTGCACTCACATCAGTTGCAGACAGCACATTGACAACGGCGACGAATCGTTGTTGAATTATCGATGGATGCATAGTTTGATGAGTTTCATGATTTCTTTTTTGGTTTAACTAAAATCCTGATGTATCGGGTTGAATGTGTTATATGTCGGTGTTTCGATTGCATGTGTTGTGTGTTGTCATTCGATCGTTCAGTATCACATCACTGTTGCATGCACATATTGCTCGACGTTACCTGCCTAATTTAGCGTTTTTGTTTTCTATTTTCTAATTAAATTTATTTCTTGCCAACCGCCCAACCAGCAAGAGCAAAACTCGATTCGTATTCACAATCTGTTATGATGATATTTCCACGGAATTTGTGCAAGATTTATCATTTATCGATTGTATTGGTGATATTTTGTGAACATTACTGACGAATTTGTTGAGTTCAGTAAGCTGAATGAATTCATTCGTCAGTTGTGTGCGATCAAGAACTTTACGAGGGGTGATCAAGACCTCTTTTGCTGTCGAATTTTTATTCGTTTCGTTTAGATTTGCTTATACGCTTGATGATATTTCGTCTGATTCGACCTGCCTGATAACATCGTTCTGTTAGCATTCCTTCGACGGCGAATGAGTTTCTCACATCCGAGTCGCATGATTACCTGTGTTTTATTGATGACACAGAGTAATGTTTCATTTTGATTGTTCCACATAAAAACTTTGAATTTGTCGGTACTGAGAAATATTCGTCAAGTCGGTTGTAAATTGTGTTGAAAGTTACTTTGCTGATGACTGCCAACGTAATGCTTTATTCTCTGAGCAACTGAAGTGTTTAGACAAGGAACATGGCTCTATCTTCCCGGCTGTCTGTATTAATTTCACTATTTTTTTCGGCAGGAATCCCCGCGGAGGCGTCCGTAAAACGCAGATAAGAAAAGCAAAGGTAATTCATCGCCATAACACAGAATTGATTCATTTATCATAGCAGACGTTGCATGTTATAAGTAGTAGGCTCAAGCCCGGAGCCAAGAAAATTTTGTGGTTCAATCAAAAGTATTCATTCGATGGCAGTGATCACTCCAAGCCTTATTGTTAGATCGCGATGATACAAATATCTTTTTTTTTGTACTCCTACGATGATGTACTTTCTAGTTGTTTTTGTACTTCGTTCTTCTCAGCAGGAGGATCTGTTTGCTTCATCAACACAACCCGCTACTTAAAGCAGTCTGTGTTGTCTGTTCGCAAAAATGCTCCAAAACGTTATCAAATTATATTACATATGGTGCCAACACAGACTGAACACCGACTCGCTGTCATTTCCTTTCGTTCACCGTATTAATTTTTTGTTGAACTGCTTACTGATCGATAATGCTAGACACTGCCAAAAAACAGTCTCACAATCTTGTCAGTCCAAAACAATCCAAAATAACAGTCACAGTCTTGTCAGTACCTTGTGGCTTTCCGAGTGATAGAGGATTTGCTCCAGATTGATGGTTGTCCTTGTGAGATCTGCACGAGTTGTCTCGGAAAGAAATCTGAATGAATCCTTCCTTCCATTAAGTAAAGAAGGACGTTTCGATTGTTCAGTGAGCAGTTCAGTCTATTGATGCGGCATCCTTGAATGATCTGTGTCTTGTGCAGTTCCTTCGGGAAAGGATAATTATAGCCCAGTATTGCTTCATTATGTGCAGAATGTTTTATACTCTGTACGGCTCGCAAGTAATTAAATTTTGTCATCAATGATAGTTCGCATGTAATAGGAACATTAATAGGTTCATTCGAGTGTACAGTGGCGATTTCTTTTAAAATTAACCATTTCTTTTTTGAGAACATTTTCTGCCGAAGAAAGAGCTTCTGCTTACTATTAGATGCCGCGACTCATTCCGAGAATGGGTTTTCTCTCGGTTTTCCAAAGAAACATGTCAACGGAATAAACTTTCTCCCAATTGATCACTAGCATTTTATTCGACTGTGATTCCCTTGTAGTTTTCTCCATTTGCAGTGGTTATAATAGTTGCATGAGGTAAAAAGTAAGTCATGTCAGGTTTATCAGGCAGGTCGCAATGAAATTTCATTTATTCGGAGTGAGAGAAATTTTATTATCTATTCGTCATTGGGGTTGTTGTTGAACGATTGAAAAGTATTGGTTTGCTCAAGTTTGAGGNGGTTTATCAGGCAGGTCGCAATTCATTTATTCGAAGTGAGAGAAATTTTATTATCTATTCGTCATTGGGGTTGTTGTTGAACGATTGAAAAGTATTGGTTTGCTCAAGTTTGAGGTATTGTTAAATGTTATGCGTTTGAATAAGTAGTTTGTTGTTTCATTTCATTTCAATTTAGAATTTGAAAAGACGATCGATCTCTCATCAATCGCTATTTCATGAATTGTTTAGAATTTCAACTCTCAAATTAACTATTCAATTGTGATTCCTTCCCTCTCTTATAAAGCGCACAACCGGATGTTTACTTGGGGGATGGCTGGGTGAATTTACTTAGAAGAAAGGAATTTATTGAATCACTCGCCGCTGTCTTGCGGTCTGAAAGGGGCAATCACTCAAATGTGTTTTCTCCAAGGGTTTTGTGTCAATCCCTGTTATTATTTAATCATGTTGAACTGAATATCAAACATTCTCCCGGGGAAAATTCATTATTTTTGGTGCAGAAAATTGTTGTGCGTGTTCGCATTTTGGCTAGAGCCAGTCTGCACAATGGCAAATAAGAGCCAGCATTTCATTTCATTCGAGTTATTGCTTGATGAAGTAATTGAATATATTCGTTACTGTTTATTGGTGATTCAACGATAATCAAATCCGGCGATTACGTACTCGTTATCAGTATATTCTTCGTACGCATATTTTTTTGTTTATTCGATTTTCTGTTACTGATTTGATGATGTTGGGACTTTAGATATATTGGTACTGATTGAAGTTAGTAGTTATTGAATGGAGGACGGTGAGGCGATCGATGAGGATCGTGGACGTTTGCCATTCAATGCCGAAGATGTGATAAGGGTGATACCGTTGGATGATGTGTTGGAGGGTCGTGAAAATTTAGATGATATTATTGCTGATGCGAATAATTTGGGTGAGTAGTTGTTGCGGTACTATCTTGAACAGGTTTTTTCTGTCTCGATTAGGACTAGAAACTGGCGCCGGAGGATTCACCCAAGAAAAGCGATCTTCCTTTTCCAACCGACTTGCTTTACTAGGGCAAAAAATTCTTAAGTTTCCAATCCAAGTAAAATTGGAGTAATCTAACTTTGATCGATAAGCTGACTGGTCATCTTGTTCCATTTTCATGCAAATGTCATTAAGCTGTTTGACACTTGTCGATCTATTTTCCTTTTATTTGTTTCGTTAATTCATTTCCTTCGCTTTGTCAAATTCTACGAACAAGTTTTGCAACTCATTTAAACGATGTTGCTATTGTTACCGTGGATGTGCAGATATTTTTTGCTTACGATTAGTGAAGATGTTTCCGATACAGTTAGCGCTGTGATACATTCTGGTCTTATTGTTAGTGATTACTTTTATAGTTGGTTGGAAATGTGAATTGTTCGTCATTTGACATTACTCAGTGGTAAATTAAATCGGAATTTAATCATCGGAAAAGTTGTGTTATTGTGTAAACTTTTAGTTTATTTCGATAACGTAATCGTCCTAGTTGTTAGGGTTTCGGTTGATTTGTTGAGACAATTAAACATTGAGTTTTTTTTTCCTTTCAAGTTAATTGCATTTCTCAATTGAAAATGCTGAATCCTTGTCTTGAAACAACGACTTGCGAAAGTACATCTTTCGAGGTAGATATGACGCATTTGAATTTGTATGTTGGGTATTTTTTGGTATGACATAATGGTTAGGGTGATAAAAACATGCACAAGGCAATGAAATACTCGACCGTAAATCTTTAGATTTGAACGAATAATTGTTTGGTGATAACAACTGTTGCACGTTCACGTTTAGCTTTGTACTTATGTTTTTTAAATCAGGTATCACTGCATCAGTTTTTGAGTTTATTCATCCTCTTTTCGCTATTTAAGATAATCGAATAAACGTGTAAACGTTTTAGTTTGTTTCTATTTGATCGTTGTAATTAATCCGTGATTTGGTACATTTCTTGCTAGGATGTTACCGCTGGTCCTGCTTCGAATTATATTCAGTAGTGAAATGTTATAAGATTGATGGAGGATGTAATATATATTCAGCGATATTACAATAACTTGTTACATTCATCATATCAGGTTGATGTTGAAGACAACAGGTGACTATAATAGTGCTCGTTCCGAGAATGTTTCAGTGATGTGAATTAGTTACATATTGTAATACTGATACTAATCGTATCAGTAATGCTACTGATAATATTAAAGATAATACTAATAACAGCGTAGTAATTGATCAATGATGATAATAATATTGATAGCAGATTAGACGTCATATTCGATCGACTTCAATTAGATGGCATTTAACATTAGTCAGAGTGACATTTTAAACTAGTGAGAGTGATATTGTCATTTCTGAAGGTTGAGATATTCAGTTTGAGATGAGTGATATTAAAAACGAAATGTAACGATCTTTTATTCAAATATATCAGTTCAAATAAAAATTTATATATTCCATCTGTGTTTCATCGGTATTTTATCTCATTGTTTTGATTAATCGTACGCAATGAATAATTTTTTCACTAATTCTTTCAGTCTATTAAATCGAACCAATTCATTGCATTTAGGAATGGCTCATTGTGATCTTTTCAAGAGCTGAACAATGAATTAGTTGATCAGATAGTGAATGTTGTATTTGATCAGTTTTGGTTATTTGTCATCGAGCAACATCAAAGAAGCGTGAGAGTATATTCAACTCGAAAGACTGATTATTTAACAGATAACAGGCCAATGTAATAATCGATCATAGCAACTAGTTTTGCTGATTTACGCGACTTTTTGAAAATTGTTAGATGAAGTGAACGAAGCACATAATTACGGGGATACCTCGAGGAAATAAGGTCTTCGCTCGAAAAGTCTCNTCTCCTACTGTCTGCACATCCATCTTGCAAAATTGTACCGAAGTAAGGCATGATGATGGGAAGTACAAGTAATGAGCGAATAAAGCTGACATATTTTGAAATGATGACACGAATCTGGAAATGAATACGAGAAAATTCGGGGTTTCGTTATTGAGTATACCAAAAAGCAGAGTATTTGTAAATGTGTACAATGAAAGCAAATCGCACGCAAAGAAATCCACAGTTTCCACTTAGCTAAAGGTTCTTCATCGTAATCAGTAATCCAGTAGTTTCATCTGAGCCAGAACAATATTCAGATGGAGGGTTGGAAACAGATGGAGCAGATGAGGGCACATCAACGGCTTATGATGAAGATTCAGTGGATGAGGTGAATGAGGACGAAGCCAAAATAACGATACAAGCTCATCAGAAGGATGTGTTTTGTGTGGATTGTTTCGAGGATCATTGGATGGCGAGTGGTGGGGAAGATGATTGCGCAGTGCTGTTCGATTTGCACAAAAATTGTTTGTTCCTCAATCATTTTGTGCAGTTTTTTGTTATACTTCCTTATCTTTATGGGAAGTATTACAAAAATAATTCGATTGATCGCAGTGATTCGTTTAGGAACATCTTGTGATTGATCAGTT